CTTATTCACAGGTTCTGCCTTCTGCTCTGTTGTGGTATTTCGGCCTTTCATTCAACGCACGTGGTGATGCTGATGCTCTACCGTAGGGTTTAGGGTTTAGGGTTTAGGGTTTAGACGCACGCAATTGGGAATACCGTAGAACTAGAGGTTTAAAGTTTAGGGCCTAGGGTTTAGGGTTTAGGGTTTTTAAGGGGACTCTGTGACCTTGTGAGAAACACTCATAGGCGACAAGAGGAACAAAGGGTTGTTTAGTTGCTGCTTCTTATTGCTGCTGCTGCTGCCGTCGTTGTTGTTGCTGCTGCTGCTGCTCTTGCTGCTGTATTAGGCGCAGCTCAAGTGGTGGGTCTGTCTCTGTTCATGCTGCTGCTGCTCTTTCTGCGGTTGCTCTTGCTGCTGCTGCTCTTTCTGCTGCAGCTCTTTCTGCTGCTGCTCTTGCTGGTGCTGCCGCTGCTGCTGCTGTAGAGCAGCTGGTGCAGCTGGGTGTCTCTGTTCTTCTCGCTGCATGCAATCAGATGCGTTAGAAGAAAACCAGCAGCAGCAGCAGCAACGCCTGCAACAGAAGCCGGGTTTAGGGTTTAGGGTTTAGGGTGTTATTAGTGATGAGGTTTAGGGCTTTTGTCAGTTTAGGGTTTAGGGTTTAAAGATGATATTTAGGATTTAAGTAAGTCTAGGGTTTAGGGTTTAGGGTTTAGAGGTGCGTGGAGTTGTTTCTCGGGGGCGTGCAAGGGTTTGAAGGCTGAGAAGAGACAGAAATTAGGGTTTAGGGTTTTAGGTGTCCAGCGCAATATAAGGGTTTAGGGTTTAGCGACTTAAGACAGCAAAACGGTTTAGGGTTTGGAGGCTCGATTATCTATTTCGGAAATTCACAAGTGTTTAGGGTTTAGGGTTTAGGGTAGGCTTAGTGTTTAGGGTTTAGGGTTTAGGGTTAGCTGAGTTTAGGGTTAAGAGCAACTTATCTCCCCCGGGGCTATCTTATGAATGTTTTTCTGTTGTTGTTTGTCTTTGTTTTTTTACTGCATTTGTTTGCTGATTATTGTTTGTTGCTGTTGTTTGTTTATTGCTATTGTTTGTCTACGGTGTAGGGTTTAGGGTTTAGGGTTTAGGGTTTAGGGTTTAGAGATGGGGGCTCAGCGTAGGGCTTTCTCTGTCTCCTTTTGTTGTTATCTGTCTCTTTTTTTATATTTGTATTTATTTGTTTTTGTTTTAATGTTTGTTTCTCATTATTATTTATTTATTATTTTTTCTTTGTTTGCTTTTGTTATTATCTGTCTCCTTTTGTCTCTTTTAACTTATTTTTCTGTTTATTTGCCTCTTAATATTTATTTATTTATTTATTTATTTTATTTGTGTATTTATTTTGTTTTGTTTGTTTATTTATCTGCTTTTGTTTGTTTTTATTCATTTATATATATCCCTCATTAACTTTTCGTCTCTGTTTAATATTTTAATTATTTTTTGCTGTCTCCTTCTGTCTTCTACTGTCTCCTTTTGTCTTTTTGTGTCTCCACTTGTTTTTAATATTACTTCTATCTTTTTATTTTCTTTTTTTTGTTGCTGCCTATAATAAAACATAGCTGGCTAGCTGCAGCAACTGCTGCATGCACTTAAGGCTGTCCAGACAGCCGAGAGGAGACAACATCACCCCACATATGGTTTAGGGTTTAGGGTTTAGGGTTTAGGGTTTAGGGTTTAGGGTTTCGATGGTTTTAAAGAGACCTTGAGTGCCTCTCTCTCTGTATTGGTGGGGTTGCTGTGTTTATGCTGGCTTACTTTTTTTATTGTAAGACTTTATATTTATTTTATTTTATTTTATTATTTTAAAAGAAATATAAATATAAATTAATTGTTGTGGTGTATCAAACACCCGTTCATATCTCCGCTGTACATACACCCGAACACCACCGGTCTCGCCAGCAGGCTACTGTCTTTTAAGGGTTTTGTTTGCTTTAAAATGCTGCAATAAATATAATTAATTAAATATATTTAATAAATTAAAACAAATAAACATTTTTTATTGCTTTAGATACTCAGGTGAAGAGAAGAAGATGCGTCCGTATCGATAGCTCACCGATTTCCTAAACCCTAAACCCTAAACCCTAAACCCTAAACCCTAGGGATAGAAAGAGATTCTTATGAGTTCTTTTGTTTATTAAACAATTTATTTGTTTATTTTATTGGTCTTGTTAATCTCTCTTCAATTATCTACTCTTCCTATAGCCAGGTAGTTGCTGCTGCAGCTTAATCTAATTCTTCTTATTCTTGCTCAATAAACCCTTTATATACTTCTTAAATATTCATTTACTCTCTTTTAAACTCAATTTTAACTCAATAGAGATGAAAGGAAGAAGGCTGGGCGCAGGCTAACCCATGCTGTTAACTACCGCTAGGGTTTAGGGTTTAGGGTTTAGGGTTTAGGGTTTGGGGGTTTACCCTAAGGTGATTCGGATACAAACAGAGGCTTTTAGATTCAGGCTGGGCTCCCTCATGCTGCTTTCTTCATTTCCTGCAGCAGCAGCAGCAGCAACAGCAACAACAGCGGCAGCAGCAGCAACAGAATTTGCAGCAGCAACAGCAGCATCAGCAGCATCAGCAGACGTTCCAGCAGCACCAGCAGAAGCAGCAGCAGCAGCAGCAGAATTTGCTGCAGCAGCAGTAGCAACAGAGGTTGCTGCAGCTGCACCAGGTTGCAGCGGCTGCAGCACCAGCAGCAGCAGTTGCAGCAGTTACAGCAGCAGTTACAGCAGCAGCAGCAGCAGCAGTTGCAGCAGTTACAGCAGCCGTTACAGCAGCAGCAGCAGCAGCAACAGCCTCATGATCAGCAGCAAAGGAGACAGCGTGTATATTGTATAAGGGTTTATTTAAAATTTGTCTGTCTCTTTAAAGTAATATATTTCTTTCATTTTACCGCATGTTGTTCTGTTTATATCGCTTCGGTCCCCCACCCTTGGGGTGTATCATGAGGGTTTAGGGTTTAGGGTTTAGGGTTTAGGAGATGGCGGGCTTGCTTCTAAACCTCGCAGCTCGAGGAGCTGGGTTAGGTGCAAGCGCCTTCACTGGGGCTTTCTCGTCTTTCTTCTCGAATATATCAGGAAGCTGTTTTAATAGCTTTAAAGAAGCATGCATATGTCCTCACCCTACAGAATGCGGCTGCATAGGTAAACCCTAAACCCTAAACCCTAAACCCTAAACCCTAAACCGTGGGGAAGTCCTAAACCCGAAACCCTAGCGAATCTCTAAACCCTAAACCCTAGCTAAACCTTAAACCCTAATCGCTCGTTATGAAACGCTGAACCTGAATACGTATACCTCTGTCAACATTGCTCGCTCCTTCCCAATCTAGGGTGTAGGATTTAGGATGTAGGATTTAGGGTTTAGGGTTTGGATTAAGGACCTGGCTTCAATGAGGGTTTAGGGTGTAGGGTTTAGGGTTTAGGGTTTGGGTTAAGGACCTGGCTTCAACGAGGGTTTAGGGTGTAGGATTTAGGGTTTAGGGTTTAGGGTTTAGGGTTTGGGTTAAGGACCTGGCTTCAATGAGAGTTTAGGGTTTAGGGTTTAGGGTTTAGGGTTTAGGGTTTAGGGTTTAGGGTTTGGGTGCAGGACTTGGCTTCAATGGGGGAAAAGGAGCGTTTGGTGTTCTTCTCGAAAGTTTTAGAGGGGCCGCTGCAGCAAATGGCTGCCTCAGGAACAGCTTGGAGGGACTTATATTTTAAAGCTGTGGAGACAGCTAAGGGTGTGCATGCTCTCTCTGTCTCCTTCTATCTGTCTCCTCTCTGTCTCCTTCTATCTGTCTCCTCTCTGTCTCCTCTTCTTCTTGTTGTTTGTTTTAATTCACTGTCTTCTTTGGTTGTTAATAAACTGTTTATAAACTGTCTCCTTTTGGTGTTACTTAGCTGTCTCCTCTCGTTGTTAATAAACTGTCTCCTTTTGTTGTTAATTAACTGTCTCCTTTTCTTGTTAGTTTTAATTAACTGTCTCCTCTCGTTGTTATTTAAGTGTCTGTCTCCTTTTTTGTCTCCCTCTCTTTGCTGCTGCTGCTACTGCTGCATTTACTGCTGCTGCTGCTGCTATTCCTGCTTGTACTGCTGCTGCTGCTGCTGCAATTACTGCTGCTGTTGCTGTTATATATTTTTTTGTTTTTGTTTGCGGTGTACAGACAGATGGGAGTGGGTTTGCTGGTCTAGCAAGCAAGCATGTTATAGCGATGCAGCTCCGGTGTATAGATATTCTTTGCTTGCAATTAGTTTAGTGCTGCCTGATAAAGAAGACTCTGCTTTATTTTATGTACGCTATCACACAAAAGATAAACAACAGCTCGATTTGTTCTTTAAAAGAGTTGATAGAAGCAGAGACCTCTGGTCTGATGGGTTGTTTGAATTTATTGAGAAG